TGGCGGATGCAGAGCTGACGTGTTCGACGGCGATGTCTTCTTTTTTTTAGGGAAAGCAAAGCTTTATAGATCAATGACGTTCGGGCATGTCGCCCGACACGCAAGATGCCACTTTGGACAGTACAATGTTATCCCACTCACACACATGTTCGGTAGGCAATTACAACCAATCTGTGCTTGACTTTCTTATACTGTGGGTTTGTTCGTGGTACGCCAGTTGCCTAAACTAGGACCGGGCCTTCCGTGAAGGAAGCCCAAACAGCATAAAATAAAGGGACGAAACCACTTAAGTTTTTTTTTTCGGAGGGGTACGAAACGACTTAAGTGCGTCGTAATCAGGGGCGCCCCCAGTCTGGCAGCCCACGCCCCCGCGCGGGGCGGGTGCCCCCGTTTTATTTCTTTTTCTTTTTATTACTTTTCCTTCTTTATTTTCTGTTTTTGTTTTATTTAATAATAAAATAATTCGGGATTCGTTCTAAAATTGCAAAACATTGTGAATTGTCAGTAAAACAGTTCTAGGGATGGCGATGATGTATGTGTGCTGTGTCGGCAAGACCCTCTTTGGATTGGTGTGCATCGGGTATCTTATGCGTGCCGCTCAACAGTTGTGATGGTTTTGCCCGGTTCTCCATAATTAACTGGGCAATCTGGTTTTCGCTCGGTTTTCCATATTTAACTCAGCAACTCCTTTCTTAATAAATGCAGGATAACTGCCATTTTGAAAAGAAAAGAAAATACAACAGTTCTTGGATTAAAAAAATGTTTGCGATTCAAAAGAATATTTTATTTTTGAATTTTGAGAACATTTTGTTGCTTTAATGCACATCTTTTTATGAGAATTCTTTAATAATGATGAACATTTTTTATATTTCATGAACAAATTTTGAATTAGATGAACACCTTTTGAACTTCATGAACAAAATTTGTATTTAAGAACATTTTTTTTGAAAATTATGAACAAAATTTGAAATTAATTAACATTTTTTAGGTTGGTGAACATATTTTGAATTTTCATGAACATTTTAAAAATCTGATGAACAAAAAAATGAATTCGATTTTTAAAAATTGTGCATTTTGAACAAAAAATCAAGAAATCATAAAATGTATTCAAGTTCAAAAAAAGTTTGTCATTTCAGAAAATATTCATGAATACAAAAAATGTTCATAGTTTTAAAAGCATGCTGTAAAATTCAAAAATGTTCACGAATGTATAAATTGTTCATCAAATTTAAAAAAGGGTCATGGTTACAAAAATGTTCATGATTTTTTTTGCGAATTCAAAATATGTTCACGAGTGCAGAGAATGTTCACCAATTAAAATATCACAATTTCGAAAAATTCTTCATGAATTTCGAAAAATGTTCATAAATACAAAAAATGTAAATGATTTCAAAAAACTATATGAATTTATAAAAAATAATTTCGCAATTTCAAAAAAATGTTCATTATTTTCAAAAATATTCAGAATTTTAAACATGTTCATGAATTCAAAACTATAAAATAAAAAAGGAACAATAAAAAGGAAACAAAAGCAAAAAAGAAAACAGAAAAAGAAACATAAACGAAAAAGAAAAAAGAAAAAGGAAACATAGTGCCATATTCCACGCACTGGGCGGATCCTATTCCCCACACGCCAGAGCTATATCTCGCATATAACAAGTTGGCCTCGCCTGAAACTTTTTTTGGTAACTACAGTATACTAGGCAGGCCTAGTACTGAAGCACTATTTTTCATGTTTTTTTCTGTTTTCTTATATTTTTCAGTTTTTCTTTTAGTTTTTTATTTTTCTTTGGTTGTCTCTCAGTTTCTTTGTTTCTATTTATTTTTTTGATGATTCTCATTTTGACTTTTTCCTTTTCCTTTTCTTTATTTCTTTCATGGTTTTCTTTGATTTTGTACACAAGTCTACATTTACATGCTTACCATTTTTCAAATACATGATATACATATTTTAAAATATATGTTTTGATGCCTATTTTTCATACACATTATTTTTTCCATGCAAATAAAGATTTTAATATACATTTATGATTTTTAAATACCCAATTAACATTTTTACAAATATATGTTTTGAGGTCTAAATTATTTTCAGATAGATTGTATGTTTTTTGTTACAGGGGAAACATTTTTATACTTGTTTAATATTTTTTATGCATGATTCACATTTTTCTGATGTATGCATTGATGTCTACATTTTAAATACATGTTGTACATTTTTTTCTACATCAAAACATTTTTTCTATACACGTTGTATATTTATTGTCTACATCGAAAACATTTTCTATGCATGTATAATGTTTTTTTTTCAGATATATGTTGTGATGTCTAATTTTTGTAAAAATGTTACGTAAAGAGATTTTTATAGTATATATGTTTGGAACATATCAAAATATATATGAAAAAGGTAAAAAAGGAAAGAATTTTTTTAAAAAAACATATGAAAATACAAGACCTCTAACCCGCTAGGCCAGCCCATTGTCTCCCGCTGCAGGCGAGATGTTTGGTCTCACACTAAGCCATATATAGCGAAATCACCAATTCAGAAGTACTCTTTTGAAAGATCACTCCCACCACTTCACGACCTGAGTGTTTTTGCTTTTTTCACGCATCCGTTTATTCAAAACGTCTTATCTTTTAAACCGTACGTTCAAATCTCGAACCGTTTTCACCATTGGATTCATTGCATCGAAATCTTCAAAACTAGATACCATTTTGATATGTTTTGACAAACTTTTTTTAGAAAAAAACAGAACGAAGAAGACGAACTGGGAGCACGTTTTTTTCTTTCCGAAAGAGGAACGGCCCCACCTCTCGCGAAAGCACAACGTGTCTTTCCTGAAAGAAAAAAAACAGAAAACACGTTTTTTTCCGTTTTCGAGAGGGACGACCGTGCCTCTCGCGGAAACAAAATGCGCCTCTCGCGAAAGAAGAAAAAAACACAGAAAACACGTTTTTTTTCCTGTTTCCGGGAGGCATGAACGTGCCTCTCACGGAAGAAAAAAAAATGTTTTTTCGCGCAATTTTACTTTGAAATTTTTTGATTCAAAAGCTAAGGAAGACGGTGAAAAACTGAAAGGTCAAAAAACCCGGAAAAATCGTTTAAAAAGCCGAAAAGGCGTGCGGAGAAATAAAAAACAAAACCAGGAGGGAGCGCCTAGAGTGCGACACGTGGCGGTAGCTGAGAACGCGCTCTGAACCCACCCCCAAATGATCATTGGTAGACTCTCAAAGGAGCGCTCGCCAACTAGTTGCTCTTGCCCGCCTAGGTCAGGGAATAGTGAGACCTCCTATGTGACGCTCGCTTGCGAATGAGGGACCTTTGCATGGGCGCGCACCTGCTGGGCCGGTCCACTCTGCCCGCAAACGATTTTTTATTTCGTTTTCTCTTTGTTGTTTACTTGGTTTACTGTAGTGTTGAGTTTTGTGGCAGCACATACCACTGTTTAAAAAATCTTCCGATTCAACGATTAATCGTCCGACTTGTCACTGCTTGTGGGGTGATCGATAAGATTACGTCTTATCTTCATCATTTATCATTTGGGCCGATTTATCGCTTTGACAAGTGATTTATCGGAAATCTACGAGTAAATCGGGCCTATTCCTAGCACTATGTTTGCAAAAGCTATGCTTATTTGTGTTTTGTCAACCTTATTATGCAATATGTACTATTGTCCTATTTTGTTTGTCATTATACGAGGATTCAAAGGCTAGGAATCAAGGTAACACTTACGCACAATATTTTCTGGTGTTGAATATAGCATATTTTAGTGTTGGGAACCCGGGATTTGCAAACAATGACCGATTAATAGTCAGTCGATAAAATTGTTTAATCGGCCGATTTCCGATTAATCTCTAATTATAACGCCCCGAGACCGTTGTGCCAGGTGTCTTCGAGTTATTCGATGTTGTTGCCATGTCATTCGTTTGCGTGTTGCATCTTAACATGTCATCATGTGCATTGCATTATCATGTTTTCAAAACTTGCATTCGTCCGAGTTCTTCGAGTTTTCGCTGTTGTCCGTTCTGAGCCCAACCACACTTGCACGTGCCCGCGGCATGTCCGAAATAGTATTTTATAAGTGGCCGGAAAATGTTCTCGGAATGGGATGAGAGTTGGCGTGTGGTCTTATTTTAGTGTAGATAGACCGCCTGTCAAGTTTCATCGCATTCGGAGATCGTTTGGTGCCCCAACGGATAACTATAGCGGCAGTATAGCCGGTCTAACGTCGGACGTTTTTGGTCTCCGGAAACAGTCGCTGGGCCTCCCTCTCTTCTCTTCTCTCAGCTCGAGAGCGTCTACACAGCTCACTACCTACCGCCAGGTCCAACCTAACCTCTCTCGTCAGCCCGCAGCCCCCCTCGCGCGCGTCCAAAACTTACCCGAACCCGACCCGGACAGTCGTCACCGTTGGATCTGGGTCATCCCCAAACA